TGCAATTAAACATAAATGGTTCAACAAATAATAATCGTCCAAATATTTAGACTGTATATCTTAAAATTAAAATAGTTCAAATTAGATAATTAGGTTAGATTTATTGCTTTTAGGATTTTAGTCAATATTAAACAATTTAATAAATGTGATATAAAATAGAAATTTGAAATTAAAACTATTAAATATTTTAATTAAAAATAATAAATAATAAATTAATGAATAAAGTTGGTTGGCCGATATTAACCGACTAACCAACTTTTTAGCATATTAGAAACCATTATCGACCCAACTATACATGGGTTGGTTGACATTATCGACCCAACTTAAATGGGTCGGTTGATGGTTGATTAACCATCACAAATTGTGGGTCGAAAATGGGTTGGTTGATGGTTAAAACCGATCCATGCACAACCCTAGTTATTCTAACCTGGCCATCCAATAACCCAAATGATAACATTACTATTAACAAAAAACACTGATGCAAATTAAGATAGATTATGGGATATCTAAAGATTAAAACCAATAAATTTGGAAATCACCATCAGATTTATTTAATCAAAATAATATGTCATGAATAATTTATATAACTAAAACAAATAAAGTTTAAGATTTATAGTAAAAATTAAATGGTAAACACTATTGTGAAGATGCTTGAATAAATAATAGAAATAATATTGTGTAAAAAATATTTTCACTGTGATTCTTATGATAATCCCTTAGATAAACCCAATAAATTTTATTGCAAAATGCAATTACCCCTCGTGTCTGTGAAGAACATTTTTTTATGCAGCAAAAGTATACATTGAAAATTAATGCACCCAAAATGGGTTAGTAACGCTGCAATATTTGTCCCGTTTATATTCTAACAAATTAGAGAAAATAGAGGAGAAATATAAGGGGATCATCGTGTAGTGCAACTATTTGAAGACATGGAAAAACTGAAAAATAAAATTTAGATAGCAAGAGTACAAAAATTGTTCCTAAATTGCACCAGGAAAAATATATTCTTATTTCTATATAAGATAATATATATTCATATATACACAACTATTTTTATATAACAACACACACACACACATATTTGCAGCTATTCAAAAGAAGCTATTGATGTTAGAAGAGATCCATGGGATACTGATGGAGGATTGAGAAGAGGTGGAAGAAAAGGCTGGGGATGGATTTATCCATATAGATATAAATATGCGGCAGACACATTTGAAATTTATATAATCAAAGAATTTGTGATTTTTGAATCCGACATTTATGATCAAAGAAAAAAATATTTAATCACCCCAAACATACACAACAAAGAACCATTATCCAAGAACGGCAAGATAAAAAATACATTGTTTGCCTAATTTTTTACATTCTCCAATTATACGAAAATTACCGGTTTATTTTAGTATTTCGCAGGAGAAGTCCATAGAAGGGATGATGAAAATAATAATCATGAAAGTATTGGTTAAAATAATACTTGTCCTTGTTAGTTATACTTCCCAAATGGATGTTTATGCAGATGTAATCTCGATTTTCAGGAATTTTACCTGTAAATACTATGAGAACAAAGGATACACCATCAGGTCTTCATCAAGCTGTCACGTGTTCATCAAGCTCCCGCGCAGCGAGCGTCGGTGACAACTTTCTAGTTTTGAGAATTGAGAAATAATAGAAATTTTGTTTCATGTGCTGCATAAATGAGAAACATTCAATATGAACCAAAAACATAAGGTTGAAGTTATTAATATATAATCACAGTTTAGTAAACAATAAACTAACATCTGTAATAAAGAAAAGCGAACATCAAAGAACTGTGGAGTTTATTTATATTATTGTTAATTTGGTCACAAAATGCAAAAATCGCAAACCCTCGTGTTTGTGAGGAACATTTTCAATGAAGCAAAAAACAATAGAAGTTCTGCTGCCACTATTCTTAAGTGCATAAGAAAACAAATTTCATTGCAATAATCCAAACTAATTTTTTGCTTACCAGCACAAACTAAATAAAAAAATTCCCAAAAAGATTACAGGGCCAAAAAAAAAAAAACAAATCGTCAAAAAATTTTAGATATTAAATTTTCAGCCATACGCATAATTTTTTTTTTTATATATTAAAATCCATGGCAATAACAACGCATGGATGATTTTCTAAAATTTGCAGCCAGACGAATTAAGAAACAATACGGAAATGTCGAAGACTCCCTCAAAATTTATCATCATGAAAATTTCTCTCCGATCAATAAATATGACATGCACCCAAACCTTCAGTATATAAGGCGATTCTATGGATGGAGACAGGAAAAAAAACAGAACGACTGGTTTTCCAGGGAAAGGAAAAAGCAGCCTGCAACAATTTATTTTAAAAAAAATCTTACAATTGATGTCATGAAGGTATTCCCGCGGCCGATTGGAATTAGATGATCGACGATGATGCAGAAATCGCACGACACATAGAGAGAGAGAGAAGTTACGGGGAGATGTTTTTTTTTTAGATTTGGGCAGATGAAAAACCGTAAAAAACTATTACAAAAGAAATCCGTAGAACTATTAGAATGAAAAACCGTGAAACAATATTACCAAAAAAGTCCGTAGAACTATAAGAATTACAAAAACTGCCCCTAGGGTTGCTTAGGGTTTGAAACCCTAAAAAGTGCCACGTGTCAAAATATATGATTTTATATCTATGTATGTATAATATATAGAAACATCATACTGAATTATGTAGTTTTAATAATTTATCGTAGTAGAATGAATAGGGGCTTACCCGCATTTTGTCCTGCAACTTTCTAATATCCAATTCTTCGCCTTCTGCAAAAACATCCAAGGAGGCCATAGATGCCATTGCAAGCTGCCCAATGTATTCTTCAAATAGCTCACTTCCAAATAGAATGACAAATACATAATGTAATAAGCAAGGAGCGAGGAACTGGATAGCGTAAAACAGAAGATGAACAAATACAGAAAAATAAAATTCAAGCCGTCTTCGAGAAACATAGAAGAAGTTATAAGATAGTGTAAAAAAAAAAAAAAAGCCCAAAAACAGGGGGAAAAAAAAGAAAATAAATAAAAACGACCCAAAGCAAATGACAGAAAAGCCTCTAGGCAAACTAACAATTACAAAAACCGCCCTTAGGGTGGTAAATAAGTTTCAAACGACAATGAAATCTTACCCCATAACCTGGAGATTCTTTTAAGGACAGACCAATATGTTAAACATAATATCATTATTTCCTAAATTTTTATCTTTCATTTGACTGATTGCATATTATATCAAGTAAATGCGGCCAAATAGAATCCTTACCCCTTAATCGCACAAACTTCGACTGGTTGGAATAAGATCACATATCTTTGTACATATTAATGAAATATCGCTTCGAACCACGGTCCGTTATCATCTTGCTCCCAGAACTTCCTTGTAAAATTTGACAATGAAATATAACTGGAAAAAAAAAAGTTAAGGCATATAAAAAAACTCCTTAAAACAATATAAAAAACCAATCCAAAACTGGAACTTCAGTCTTGAGAAACTATGAAAAAATAATGGAATTTCATTTGAAACTCTTAACACAATTCATCAACAACAAAGAAGTTTTTAAATGGTTTTCTATAATAAATTTTTACATAATTATGATATGAATTTAAGTCACAATCCCAACTATAAATAATTATAAGCCAGAATACATCAATTAAACTTACTCATTGAGAAGAATTCATATAATACATAATACATCAATTAAAACAATTGAATCAATAATCCCTCAAATTATAATAAGAAGAAAAAAGACCTGAAAATTGTCCACGAATCGGCGCCGCTAACCATTGGTAGTGATTGAATTGCAGCAAATTAACGTATAGTTGAGATTGTGTATTCAGCAGTTAATTGGCGGAGAAGCGAACGGGGACAAAACTGATGGAAAAAACTGATTAATGGGTTGCTGCAGTTGAAGGAGTGTGTCTTGAGAGAGAAATTTAGGGGAGATGAAAAACGGCAGAGAAATTTATGGGAGATGAAACGGTTTTTTTTTCCTTTTTTTTCTACCCAAAGATTTTACAAATTACAAAACTTCCCCCAGGGTTTGTAAACCTAAAATGCCACGTGTCAGCATTTTAGGCCCATAGATTGTCTTTATATATATATATATATAGATTCTTCAAAAGACAAAATTCTTTCATTTTTTCTTCTATTATTTTCTTCCTTTTCTTTCTACCGTTTATTGACTCTTGTATATATATATTTTTTCCCCTGCCTTTTCTTAGAGATTTTTGTAATCTTTATAAGAATTACTTCCACAATTATAGTTTAGTTAATTTATGTATTTGATACACTAGAGATATTTTATTTATTAATTAATATTATTAATTTATTACACTATATAATGTAAAACAAAACGACGTCGTTTTGTATGGCGGGGCGGGACGGGTTTCACGGGTATTAAAAAAATTGAACCCGTTTTAGACCCAAACTCACGGTTCTTCACCATTTAAGGACCCAATCCTATGGATGGATCTATCCGTCCGGTCCCAACGGGCCGGTTTTTCACGGGTTTGACGGGTATGGCAGGTTGATGGGTCCGACTTGCTCACCCCTACTATCCCTATATATTTTCCATATGAGGGGTGTATATCAAATGGACCCTACATGAAAAGTGCAAACACCAATATCCATACCTCAAATCTCGTTTAAAAAATCCATGGTAAAAAAATAAGGCTTTTTTTTTTGGCCAAAAATATAAAAAGCCAAAAAGAAAAATAAAATCTAATAGTTAATTAAAAAGCCTCTAACCCCACTCGGATCTCTCCCTCCGACGATTCTCCCTGTACATCTTAGGCCAGTCGGGGTAACTAAACCCTAGAGAGAGAAAAACTAGACCATGACAGCTAATTTTGAAAAAAATTAACTAAAAACCTGGTACTAATCATCTGTTTTCTCAACATTTTTGTCAACGGTATCTGTCTTTTCAACAACTTCTTCAACGGCAGGTTTGACGGTAGGTTTAGCGGCAGAATCAGTCGGGTCGAAAATCATTCATGGAGGATCGGGCCTTGACGAGCCACGGCTTGAGCGCGAGCTCTATCGCGAGCCAGCCGAAAGCCAAGGCTCCAAATACAATTCGAGCCGATTTCGCCAAGCTTGATTTCGCCATCAGAGACGATTTTCTTTGGCACGAGGAATTACAGTAGAAAGAGATTTGGCGAGAGAGAGTTAGAGAGAGGGAGAGATGAAGAGAGAGAGAGAGACGTAACGACAAGATGTGGGCGTGAGAGGAAGAGAGAGAAGATTAATAGGGTTATGGCAACTAAAACGGCAAAATAAGTACTTCTAGTTGCTCAGGGCGTCTGTCAAATTAAGATTAGAATTTGAGTTTTTAACTTGGACAAAATCCTCATATATATTTTTAAAACTAGGCGGTATCTCACATTCTCCCTTTTATATATAGATTATTTTCATATTTTTTTATACAAACATATTCAAAATAAATTTCACTATCAACTATCAATTTGCAATTGATCATTAAATTATATAAATAATTAGAGAAACATTAAAAATATTTGAAAATTTACTATCCAAACATGTTTTTAAATTTTTATAAATGGTAAATAACCCATGTGGTTAGGGATGGCAAAAAAACCCCGATCCGCTACCTAATCGTGCGTATCCGCTCCATTTAAAATACGCTAGCGAAACCATTGGAGTTTGGTAATAGTTTTGGAAAAGAAAAGCAAACAGTCATGATTTTGGTATGGTTCTGATTTTACCCCTTAAGTTATGGGTACCCGATCATTTTATACACACACACACGCGCTCGCGCGCGCACACACACACACACACATATATGTGTGTGTGTGTGTGTGTATATCTATATATATATATATATATATATATATATATATATATATATATATCTATCCGATTATGTCGGAGACCCCCTCATGTCGAAATTATCTCGGACTAACTACCATGTGGATCACACACCAGTGTAAACCCCCTCTATTTCG